TTGGGCGCCAGTTTGAGATCTGGCTGCTCCACTTCCAATCCAGCTCTCTGCTATGGCCTGGAAAAGCAGTAGAAGATGGCCCAAGTGCTTGGGCCCCTGCACCTATATGGGACCTGGAGGGAGCTCCTGGCTCCTGGCTTCAGATCGGCGCAGCTCTGGCCATTGTGGCCAATTGGGGAGTGAACCTTCGCATGGAAGACCTCCATCTCTCTCTCTCTGCCTCTCCTTCTCTCTGTGTGTAACTGTGTAATTCTGACTTTCAAATAAATAAATAAATCTTTAAAAAAAAAAAAAACTGCTTTTCCAGTGGGCCAGCATTGTGGCTTAACAGGTTAAGCCACCACCTTCGGTGCTGGCATACCATTAAGAGCGCTGGTTCGAGTCCCAGCTGCTCCACTTCTGATCCAGCTCCACACTAATGTGCCTGGGAAAGCAGCAGAGGATGGATCAAGTAAGTGCTTGGGCCCCTGCACCCACATGGGAGACCCAGAGGAAGCTTCTGGCTCCTGGCTTCAGCCTGGCTCAGCCCCAGTCATTGTAATCATTTGGAGAATGAACCAGGGGTTGAAGACTCTCTCCCCTTCCCCGCCCCCATAACTCAGCCCTTCAAATAAATGAAATAAATGTTTTTAAAAATGCCTTTCCGGCCGGTGCCACAGCTCAATAGGCTAATCCTCCACCTGCGGCACTGGCATACTGGGTTCTAGTCCCGGTCGGGGCGCCGGATTCTGTCCCGGTTGCTCCTCTTCCAGGCCAGCTCTCTGCTGTGGCCAGGGAGTGCAATGGAGGATGGCCCAGGTCCTTGGGCCCTGCACCTGCATGCAAGACCAGGAGAAGCACCTGGCTCCTGGCTTCGGATCAGTGCAGTGCGCCGGCCGCAGCGCGCCGGCCACGGCGGCCATTGGAGGGTGAACCCACGGCAAAGGAAGACCTTTCTCTCTGTCTCTCTCTCTCTCTCTCACTGTCTACTCTGCCTATCAAAAAAAAAAAATAAAATAAATTTAAAAAATGCCTTTCCATTGTCTTCTGGCCTCCATCGTGTCTGACGCAGTCAGCTTACACACAGACTTGTCTCTTACGAGGCTAGTGACTACCTTGGTGACATAATTTTTAAATTTTAATGGACTAACAGTCTCTTGCCTCTTTTCCACCTTGAAAAAATAAACAAGACCAAGCTTCCTTAGGTGAGAAGGGGTCGCAGGGCACTTTTTTGTGATGTCTGTGTATTAGGTTTGCATTTTTCAGTTTGTGCCAGGACCCCACAGCTATTTGATGAGAGAAGGCCCCTCTATGGGGAGCATCTGCAACCAAAGACTAAACAGGATTCAGAACCGTACCCACCTCCTGCAAATGCTGGCGCTTGCTCCCCACTCTGCCCACACTCAGACTGCAGAAGCCCGCTGCTGAGACCCAGTCATCTGCCTGCTCTGGGGCTGCACCTGAGCCGCTGAGCCAGGCTGGAGGATATCCCACTGCGCTCAGCAGGCCCGGTGAAATCAAAGGCCTCCCATCTCCAGCTGCAGCCGGCAGGTCAGCTAACCCTGGTCCCATCCTTGGTAAATCCCTGCTCTCTTCCACCGCTGCCCTCACGGCGCGCTCCTGAAGGAAACAGATGCAGAGGGATGCGAGTGCTCACTTTCCCAGCCTGGGAGCCACGGACCTCCCGGCACTTTTAGCCACAATCTCCCTCTCTCCCCTAAATGGCAGGACAGTCTACGCATGGCTGTGGCCTCTCCCTCCACTTTGTCCTGAATTCATGGCTTCAATGCTAAGACTCTGCTCCTGAAACAATCCTCATTCTCTTGCCTTAGCGCTTTCTTCTCTGAGCTGGATCACTCCCAGCTGCACATAATACAAACAAGCCTTCATGTTACTTTTCTTAAAAATAAATACTTAGGGCCGGCACTGTGGTGGAGTGGGTCAACGTCCTGGCCTTAAGTGCTGGCATCTCATATGGGCGCCGGTTCTAGTCCCAGCTGCTGCTCTTCCAATCCAGCTCCCTGCTGTGGCCTGGAATAGCAGGAGAAGATGGCCCAAGTCCTTGGGCCCCTGCACCCATGTGGGAGACCCAGAAGAAGCTCCTGGCTTTGGATTGGCGCAGCTCCAGACATTGCGGCCATCTGGGGAGTGAATCAGTGGATGGAAGACCTCTCTCTCTGTCTCTAGCTCTCTCTGTAACTCTTTCAAATAGAGGAGGCAGCAGGTGATGACTCAAGTACTGGGACCCCTGCCACTCATGTACGAGGCCTGGACTAAGCTCCTGGCGCCCTCCTTCATCCTGGCACAGCCCTGGTTGTTGCAGGCATCTGGGGGAGTGAGCCAGCGGCTGGGAGATACCGATATCCCGTCTTCACTGGCTTGCTCACACCCACCGTCTATCCTGCAATGAAACAAACACTCTGCAGAGATCAGGTTCCCTTCCGGACTCCACTATGCCCCACCTCTCCTGCCTGCAAAATCCCTCTGGAGCTGTCTCAGCCTCCTGTCTCCACCTTCCTGCCCCACCTTCTCACTCACTCCAGCAGTGCTTTCTATCCCACTGTCCCCAGGGAATCCTTCCATCCTATGCAGTCCACTGATCATCTTCCTGAACCCTCGGCAGCACTTGACACAAGTAGCCACTTCCCCCTCCCTCCCCAGAGAGCAGCTCCTCCCCTCTCCCCCACCAAGCTCCCACCTTCGGTGATCTGATCTTATCACAACCTCTGGTGACACCCAAATCCACGGCTGCTGCCTCCATCTTGCTGTTGTGCGCCACACTTTTATGTCCAGAACATTGTGTGACACCTAATTCTAAACGTGGTGGGTCCACAGGGAACTCTTCTTTTTTGTAGGCAGATTTAAAAAAAAAATATGTAATGTATTTGAAATAAATATAGTTGGGGCCGGCGCTGTGCCGTAGTGGGTAAAGCCACCATCTGTAGTGCCAGCATCCCATATGGGTGCCAGTTCAAGACTTAGCTGCTCCATTTCCCATCCAGCTCTCTGCTATGGCCTGGGAAAGTAGTGGAAGATGGCCCAAGTCCTTGAGCTCCTGCACCCACGTAGGGGACCCAGAAGAAGCTCCTGGCTCCTGGCTTCAGATCAGCCCAGCTCCAGCTGGTGCAACCATTTGGGGAATGAACCAGAAGATGGAAGATCTTTCTCCGCCTCTGCCTCTCTGTAACTCTGCCTTCCAAATAAATAAATAAATAAATAAATCAAAAGAAAGAAAGAAAGTTACTAGAGGAAGAGAAGAACAGGGGGAGGGGAGAATCTTCCATCATCTGGTATGCTCCCTTAAATGGCCAAAACAGCCAGGGCCAGGCCAGACCAAAGCCAGGAGCCAAGAGCTTCTTCTAGGTCTCACGTGGGTGTCAGGGGCCCAAACACTTGGGCCACCCTCTGCTGTTTTCCCAGGCACATCAGCAGGGAGCTGGATCAGAAGTGGAGCCAGGACTCGAACTGTTGCCCATATGGGATGCTGGTGTCACAAGCAATGGTTTAACCTGCTACACCACAATATCAGCCCCTCTAAAGTAAACTCTTGACTTCCCCGAAGACCTGCTCCTTTCCTAAGCTGTCCCTTCTGAGTGGATGGCACCACTATGCACCCAGTGAGTCAGGTCACACACGGACATTAGCCTTTTCCATCTCTCCCTGCAGCCCATCCGTCAGCACACATTGCCCCCTCCACAAAGCCTTGATCTCGGGGCCGGCGTCGTGGTGTAGTGGGTAAAGCCACCACCTGTGATGCTGGTTTGATTCCCAGCTGCTCCACTTCCAACCCAGCGCCCTGCCAATGGCTGGGAAAGCAGCAGGGGATGGCTCAAGTGCTTGGGCCCCTGCCACCCACGTGGAAGGCCCGAAATAGTTGTGGTAGCCATCTGGGGAGTGAATGAACAGATGGAAGACCACCTCTTTCTCTTTCTCATTCTCGTTCTCTTTCTCTCTCTCTCATACACAAACACTTTCAAATAAATGAGTAAATCTCTAAAAAAAAAAAAAAAAAAAAAAAAAAAAACCAAGCCTTAATCCTACCACTTCTGGTCCCCATGCTGCAGGCCTGTCCATCACCCCTCCTCTGGACAAGGTCAGAAGAGATCCTTCGAGGCATAAAGCAGATTACGCTGCTCCTCTGTTTCAAGTTCTCAAAGGTAGCATTTTATCTGTGAATACAGTAGTCCAGCCCGAACCCGCTAGGGATATATTCCTAGTCCCCCAGTGAATGCCTGAAACTGGATCCTACATGTACTATGTGTTTTCCTATACACAAACACCTATGAGACACTGTCACCCTTTCCCTCCCAGGATGTGATTTATGGCTTCCTTCTGGCATATGCAAATTACCAGCATCCCTACTCTTAAGCTTTGGGACACTATTAAGTAATGTAAGAATTAATTAATGCAAGCAACGTGATTGACAGTGCCACAGTCAGTCTGATAACTGACACGGCTACAGGGACTAACAGCAGAGTAGGACATACAGCGTGGAAACGCTGGACAAAGGGGTGATTCATGTCCCTGCTGGATAGCACAATACTCTTCTCAGAACAGCATGCAATTGAAAGCTTATGAATGTTTTATTTTTCAAATTTTTCATTTAATACAGCAAAACTGCAGATAAAGGGGGATGACTGTATACACTCCTTCTACCTCTGTTCTCTGTAAAAATCTAGAAACAGTGACCAATCCAAGAGCAATAAGCATTCTTAGTACCTAGACTACAGTTTTGAACACTATTACCCACTAAAGCAATCCATTCTGGAAGCAGCCAACTGCAGATCTGGAGCAGCAAACATTAAGCCAGAAATATGTTGTCAGGATGGAAGGCAAGAAACTGAGCAAAGACAACTAGAGTCATGTCAAAAGAATGCAGAAGCCACATCAAAGAGTTTCCCTCTGACCAGAGATGGGACCATTTGACCTTCAACAGAATAGCGAATGCAATGGATTGAAATCATCACGCATTCTGGAATCCAGAAGTTCATAATGACACTGAAAATGCAATAATAACTCACCTTTGAAGGATGACAGGGAACAAATCTATTATCTTGAATGAAAGCAGGGAAGCCCAAGCCTTTATTTACCCTTTTCTTCATTAATTGTACCACCAGTTAACAGATAGTAGGTTAGGGGAAGCATCTCTTTGTAGAACGACTCCAATTGACAAATGAAAAAGAGAAAACAGGATTAGGATAGCACCATGCCGCAACCTTTGGCGAATTAACATATGTAGGCATTACATTATCACCAGCTGCCAGGACCACAGAAAGACAGGCACCCAGGCATTAACACACCCTCTGGTGAAAGAGCATCTGTGCTCTTGCCAAAGGGATCCAAACCTGTGTGTAATCAAGTGTGGACATCCAGGTGCTGATTTGCATGAGATGGCAAAGACAGAGGAACATGTTGGATGTGAGGTGCATGTTGAATATGCAGTCAGCAAAACACTAGCCTGGGAAACTCTGCAGGCCAAACCTCCCAAGCTCTGCAATGGACACAGTGTAGGGAAGGAGATGACGAGGAACACGTGAATGGAAAGATTCAAACAGGCTAGCAAGTCAACTTAAGAAAAACAGGCATAACTATGACTTCTAAGGGTGTACATCTGGGTGCTAACACTACAAAGAAATCCCAGGCAGTGGTTACTATCGTTACCAAAAACGTGGTCCCTGTCCCTGGTGCTAATCACAAGAATGAGGACAAAATTCCGGGGTGAAGGAAAGGGAAGATTTAATCCACCAATGGATGAGGGCGTAGCAGACTTGCAGAGCTCAAGGATCACCACTCTGCTGGATGAGGGTGTTGGCTTGCAAAGGGTTTCCAGGGAAGGGGATGCTGGCCAGGCGAGATCACCAAAGAGCTGCAGGGCTCTGGTGTCGGGTGCCACGGCTTGTCACTAGCTAGATGATAACACAGTCCTCTTCTATTTTGTCCTGGTGGTCCTTGGGCTCTAGCCTGAGCAGGTGCTACTGCTCAGGAAAACAGGTTGAGGTGAGTGACAAGGCAATCGTGTGCCTAGGACGTAGGCAGGAGGAAGCCAGCATCAGCATCCTGGCTTTACACTTCAGTGGTAAAAGTTGTCTGCTTGGGGCCAGCGCTGTGGCGCAGTAGGTTAATCCTCCGCCTGCAGTGCCGGCATCCCAAATGGGCACCGGTTCTGGTCTTGGCTGCTCCTCTTCCAATCCATCTCTCTGCTATGGCCTGGGAAAGCAGTAGAAGATGGTCCAAGTCCTTGGGCCCCTGCACTCGCATGGGAGACCAGGAAGAAACTCCTGGCTCCTGGCTTCGGATCGGTGCAGCTCCGGCCATTGAGGAGTGAACCAACAGACAGGAGACTTTCTCTCTGTCTCTTCCTCTCACTGTCTGTAACTCTACCTCTCAAATAAATTTTTTTTAATCTTTTTTAAAAAAAAAAGTTGTCTGCTTTTGTGGTTTTTTACCTGACTACGCCAGGAGGGCCAGGGGACTGGTCACCCTTGGGAGGAGGAAGGAGGTGGTTGGGGGGTGGGGGAATAGAGTCCCTGGGGCTTCCTGCTGTGGCTGCAAAACTCCATTGCATGACCTGGGTGACAGACAGAAAGATGTTTGCTTTCTAATCATTAAGCCACACATTTGTTTCGGTTGATTTTTTACATCTGTTTTGTTAGGTGATTTTTAAAAGATTAAAAAAAAAAACTTCCAATGTATGCAGGTAAGTAGGTACTCACATAACCATTTAACATTTAATTATTTTAAAAGGCACAGGGGTGGGCATTAGCCTAGCAGTTAAGACAGTGGTTGGAACACCCCCATCCCATATCTGAGTGCCTGGGTTCAAATCCCAGCTTTGGTTTCTGATGCCGCAAATGCACGCACTAGGAGGCAGCAGTGATGGCTCAAGTACTTGGGTCCCCGTCACCCAAGTGGGAGACCCGGGCTGAGTTCCGGGGTCCTGGGTTTACGCTGGCCCAGCCCAAACTGCTGTGAGCGTTTGGAGAAATGAACCAGTGAATGGGATATCTGTCTGTCTCTCTCTGCCTTTCAAAAATAATAATATAGAAGATAAAACTGCAGGGTTGTGACTCTCAAGGATCCACTAAACCTTGAAATCCTTTTTGGGGCAGCTCTCACCCAGCCACCAAGTGCCCTGATGCCTTTGCCAGATTCCTAGGAACGCCGCTCCCTTCTCCCGCTGGTTCCCAACATCCTACTCGTCTCTAAGCAACAAGCAGACGACGCAATCGCCACCCTCACTTGCCTAAGACAGGTGGAGGGAGGGGAGTGAGCACGCATGCGCACTAGCTCCCAGCTCCACCCTGCCGCTCTGGGGACCGGCCTCTGGCGGGAGACTGGGACGTATACTGAGCACCCAAGCCTTGGGCCCTGGGACCAGGCTAAATAATGTTTCCTAAAACCTGTGTCCAGACTCCCCAGAAGTCCCCTATTACACCCTTCTCGGTCAAAGTATGGTCTAGTGCACTAGCAACAGCTCTGCCTGGGAGCCTTGGAGCAATGCAGAATTTCAACCTCATCCCAGACCTGCATCACTGTCTGCGTTTTTAACGAGATCCCAGGAGATTCGTGTGCACATTAGGGGTTGCTTTTGCAATCCAGATAAGGCAATGTCATAAATAAATACGTCAAACCAGAAACACCTCCTGTAGTTTGAACTTTTAACCTCGACACTAAGAGTCTGACTTACAAGAGGAAGTTCCCAGGGATGAATTCCCTCTGCTCAGTCAGGGTGAGAAAACCCCCTCGTGTCTCCTCTGCTGTCAGTCCAGGTCAGAATGCATCACTGACCTCGGTCGGTTCCTGCTCTCAAGTCGGTGGGGAAATCAGAGAGGACGATTTCCACCCCCAGAGTGCATGCTGCTACTCGTTAGCAAGGTGGAAAAGGCATGGGGGCTCAAAGGCAGGTACCTGGGACCTGCCAAGGTAAGTCAGCCAAATGGCAACACCAGGCAGCTCCTGGTCGGGTTCACAGAACCCAAACAGCTCACAGAATACAGATTCCAGCCCTTTTTAAAAGATGTATGTATTTGTTTATTTGAAAGGCAAAGTGACAGGGGAGAGAGACCTTCCATCCACTGGTTCACTCCCCAAATGCCAGCAACAACCAGGGTTGTGCCAGGACAAAGCCTAGAAAGAGCAGTTCTAGCTGGGTCTCCCACGTGGGTGGCCAGGGCCCAAGCATGTGAGCCATCATCTGCTGCCTCCTAGGCATGTTAGCAGGGAGCCAGATCGGAAGCTGGGAGTAGCCGGGACTCAAACTGACATTCCCATATAGGATGCTGGCATCCCAAGCAGCAGCTTAACCCTCATCGTCACCACGCTCCCCCTGCATGTGTTTTTTGTTTTGTTTTGTTTTGTTTTGTGTGTGTGTGTGTGTGTGTGGTTTTTTGTTTTTTTTTTTGTTTGTTTTTTGGTTTTTTTTGTTTGTTTGTTTTTTGGTTTTTGGTTTTTTTTTGACAGGCAGAGTGGACAGTGAGAGAGAAAGACAGAAAAAGGTCTTCCTTTTTCCGTTGGTTCACCCCCTCAATGGCTGCTGTGGCCGGCGTACCGTGCTGATCCAAAGCCAGGAGCCAGGTGATTTTCCTGGTCTCCCACCACATGTGTATTTTAAGCCCCGAAATGGAATTCCTACAGATGCTGAGACAGTGGATCAGTACTCCCAAGAGTAGTTCCCAGGCCGGTAACTTCCCTGTCTGGTGAGGTCTCCCAACCTCCGTCCATCTAGGGAAGCCGTAGACCTGAAGTTCAACTTCCCCATCAGATGGCAGCGGCAAATCCGAGCAGACACATCCCACTCCCAGGAGAACCACTCTGCTTTGCTGGGAAACACTAAACAGAAGTGACTCACCAAACAACACCAAATGCAAAAAATAGGAAACGATCCTTTTTTTTTTTTTTAAGGCTTGGACAAAATAATAAGATGGGGTGGGAGAGTACTTACTTCAAATAGAAAGTAAGGTAAGAAAAATTCTTAAAATTTCATGCTTCGTGCCACAACACAGCTGTATCTTGGAAACATTATGCCAAGAAAAAGAAACCAGTCACCCAGAACCACCTATAATATGATTCCATGTACATGAAATGCTCAGAGTAGGCAAATCTATAAAGATGGAAATAGATTAGGAGTTGCTTAGGACTGGGCGGGATGAGGGGCTTTGGAGGTTCATGGCCACAGGACACAGTAAGCTGGAGGGAATAAGTTCTAATAGGGACTGTGGTATTGGACACACACCTTTGTGAATATACTAAAAGCCACTGGGTTGTCCACTTTCAGTGGGTGAATTATATAGTGCTTAAATTCTATTTCAGTAGAGCTTTTTCAAACAAAATTCATGGCTCCACACCAGGTCCATGTTAGCCTAAACCGTGGAGTTCCTCTTATGAGACAAAGACCTTCCAAGCAAAATCTGAAAAAAGTTTGACATGAGTACTGAGGAGAGACCCTCCGTGAATTTATCTGACAAAACACTCCCCTGGCAGTCTGGGGAAGAATTTCACAGCCTTGTCTCAGGATCATCAGACACACAGAAATCCCCATCTGGCTTGAGGTTCCTGTTCCAGAAAGTCTGGGAAAACCAGCCCCAGCCAAACAGGCTTTCAAAACAGCATCTTTCATCTCCCTGGGCACGGGGAGACACAGAAGACCATGGGTTGAGGGACGTATGGCCCCCGTCGGAATACAAAGCGGATAACTCACTATTGCCATAGAAACTCGAGTCCAAAATAGACTTCACATTGCCCAAGGAACTGTGTTCCAAGAAACCCCAAATAGCAACACACAAAAAAACGGCAGCTAAACAAGCTCCCACTTCCCCAACCCTGGACAGAAATGGCCTCCTCCATGACCTGTCTGACCTCCATCCTGCTGCCCGGCACCTCTCCTCAAGCAAGGGCAGAGGGCATGGAGAGAAGCCCAGGGAGGACGCCGGCTGCCCCCACAAAGGGCAGTGTGGGCATCCCGGGCACAGCTGTCACCACGGAGGGAAAGCCAAAAAGGGGAGGTGGGACTGAGGCTCTGGAACACGCAAGCCCAGGGCACCGCAGCGATCAGCCAACAGCCTCGTCCTGCCCTGCCAGCCTGGATTCTCTCATCCCCACGCAAATTAAAACACCAAATGTTCTGTGCTCCGATTCATAATGCAGCAGATGTCGCTGGCTTGTCTCCGACAAGCTTCAGCCCCGAAGGACAAAAGGCCACCTTGAGCGCCAGGGACAAGGGAGCCAGCAAGTGTCCAGGGCCCTGCACACGGAGGCACTCGGTAACGATTGGCTGGATGCTGAACGCTGACCTTGCCCTGGCCTGGAAAGCAAACACACACACAGACACACACACACACACACACGTGTAACCTTGCAAAAAGCACCACGTTACAGAGGGCAAAGCATTTCGTCCATTTTGCTACTAATGTACCCTAAGCGCCTAACACCATGCCTGGCACGCAGAATGTTTGTCTAAGGCTGAATGAAGGGACTACCATGGCCAGGCGCCGATCCGGGTCCGCTCTGGCCGGTGTCCTCGCCCCATCACTTCCACGTGGGTGGCAGAGGCTGCCCCGAGGCCTCCGCTCGCCAGGGGCCGCTGTAGGAACGACCCAGCTTCCTTTCCCACGTCACTCTTTGACCCTGTGAAGCCGCTGCCCGGAGCTAAGATGGCGGCGTCGGTGGCGGCTGCGGCCGTGCGGCTGCGGCGGGCGCTTCAAAGGTCACTGTCAACCGCGCCCCCCGCAGTCCCGGCGGCAGCCGTGCGGGACGCCTTCCTGACCTTCTTTCGGGACCGCCATGGCCACCAGTTGGTGCCTTCCGCTTCCGTGCGGCCCCGAGGCGACCCCAGCTTGCTTTTCGTTAACGCCGGCATGAACCAGGTAGGGGCGGAGCCATGCTGACTGGGGCGGGAATTCGCGAGTTTTCCAGAGAGAAAGCCGCTACGGGATTGGGCAGAAGAAGCTAGGGGGCGGAGCTCATGGCGTTTGGGAAAATAAGACGGTGTGCGATTGGGTAAAGTGCTTGGGGGCGGGGCTCAGTCCAGTTTGGACTTAGGAGAACTTGTCCTGGACAGGGGCTGAGATGAATTCTAGGTCCGGGAATGGCAGATGTAAAGTCCCGCGGGGAAGGTCTTTATTCTTTATGTAAAAATAATTCACCCATTAGATGAATGTTTATTGTACAGCTACAGCTTAATAAGCTTCCAACTTTGAGTTTACCCACTCTAGACTTCATTGTTTCGTCTGTAAATTGGGGACAGTGATGCAGGAAGGTTCACTTTAGAGGTAGTCCGAGATCTCTGCTAAAAGCTGACATTCTGGCCAGTGCCCTGTACCGTGTGGCCCCAGTGTTGTCCCCTGGTGTTACTGATGTGGTCGAAGCAGCCGAGATGGAGGATTGCCTTGCAGTGTCCTGTCTCCAGCCACCAACATGTTCCTCCTCCTGCTGCCTTGCCTGTTTTGCTAGCAGAGAGTCAGAGGCTCTGTGTGGTGATTTACTGTCCCTTCTCTGTCTCCCACACCCGATACGTGTGCCTCCAACTTGCCCCCACACTGTATCCCCAGAGGCATCGGCCACCTTCAGTCTAAACAGCCATGCCCACCCCCACTCCCCCACAGTCCCTTCTGATGAGGCCCTGAAATATTCCCCTGACCATTTTTCATGCTCCAGTTCAAGCCAATCTTCCTGGGCACCGTGGATCCACGAAGCGAGATGGCAGGCTTCCGACGCGTGGCCAACAGCCAGAAATGCGTGCGGGCCGGAGGCCGCCACAGCGACCTGGAGGATGTGGGCCGGGACCTGTCCCATCACACCTTCTTCGAGATGCTTGGCAATTGGGCCTTTGGGGGTGAATATTTTAAGGTGAGTCTCCAGGGAGCGCTCTGGGGCTAAGAAAGGGTCAGGGTCAGTCCTGTCTGCATTTGCCTGTCTGCTTAGAGACAGAGGTGAAGTTCTCGCCGGACACATGTAACGGGAACGCATCTTACCTCTCCCGTTGGATATTAAATCACTGGAGGGCAGTGATGGTGCATCCTGCCTCCTGGCTGGTCCAGGAGTTGTCTGAATAAGTGGTCAGACGGTAGTGGAGTGAAGGATCATCCCAAGCTAGGGTGGGCAGAGGTTCCGGGGAGAAGGCGGCACTTGTGCTGAGACCTGAAAGAAGGTTGAGTGAAAAGAAGGCGAAAGCTTTCTGGGCAGGAAAGGAACTCAGGCAGAATCAGGCCAGGTGTGTTCTGGGAAGCAGGTGGGCGTGGAAATGCTTTTGTGTGACGCTGGAGCCTGGACTCAGGTGGCCTGGGTGGACCTCACCCACCCGCCCTCTCCCTACGTCTGGGTTCTGCCGCAGGAGGAGGCGTGCAGCATGGCGTGGGAACTGCTGACTCAGGTCTATGGGATCCCCGAGAACAGGCTCTGGGTCTCCTACTTTGCTGGCGACCCCAAGGCAGGGCTGGACCCAGACCTGGAAAGCAGGGACATCTGGCTCAGCCTAGGGTAAGTCAGCCCCTTCCACATGCACGCCTGGAGGGCAGGAGGACTGAACATCAGAGACTCCCGGCACCAGTGCTGGTCTCAGCGTGTCCCAGGATGCTGTGGGGTCCGCTCTGTCCCTGCTCTTGCTGGACTGGGACAGGAAGGAGGGGCTGTCGTGGCAGGGAGGGGCCCAGCTTCTGGGGGCATCCAGCTTGCACCACTCACCTGCCTGTCTCCCCAGGGTGCCCGCCAGCCGTGTGCTTTCCTTCGGGCCACAGGAGAACTTCTGGGAGATGGGGGATACTGGCCCTTGTGGGCCCTGCACCGAGATCCACTATGACCTGGCTGGCGGGGCGGGGGCCCCCCAGCTGGTGGAGCTCTGGAATCTGGTCTTCATGCAGCATAACAGGTAACAGTGCTGCCCCGGCAGGAGGAGGGTCCCTGGCCGGAAGCAAGAAGACTTGGGTCTATTTCCTGTTTCAGTGAAATGGTGCCGATGGGGAGCCAGACACCTAGTTGCTTTCTGAGTACTGTTCCCATAATAACTGGCTTAGTCCTGTCCTTGCCCGTGACAGCTCAGACTGGCCACTGTTGCCCTCTGGCCTCTTAGCATATGGCGGAGTTGAACCTGATGATCGAGAAGGTTTCCTTGGAGCCTTTACATGTTTCTCCCCAAGGGCAAAGAATTCTGTCCCAGAAGGGGATGTTTGTACCCTGGCTTTGTCAGGCATGGGTTGAAGAAGCTGAGACAGGGCAGATAGAGGACTGGGGGATGGGAGGAGGCCATGATGGTCCACTCTTGGCTGAGGGGTGATTCTGCCTGTCCTTTTTCCCTCTGCCGGCCCCTCGGGCCCCTCGCTCCTCTCCTCACACTTGTAATCCTGGTGGTTGGGGGGGACCCCTCACCTTGTTCCCCTTCCCTGGCCAGAGAAGCAGATGGGAGCCTGCTGCCCCTGCCCCAGCGGCACGTGGACACGGGAATGGGCCTGGAGAGGCTGGTGGCCGTGCTGCAAGGCCGGCGCTCCACCTACGACACCGACCTCTTTACTCCGCTGCTCGACGCCATCCACCAGGTGAGCCTGCCTCCTTCCCCTCCCCCACCCGAGCCCCTGCAACCTGCTCGTCCCCAGTGCCCAGCCCCTTCCATCCTTGTCGAGAGCTCAGAGTGTTTCCAGCCAAGGACCCCACGGCGTCAAGCATGGGACCAACATGCGGCGTCTGTTGCCCGATGCCCCTGTCTCCCTCCATTGTGCACAGAATAGATGTTGGGTGCCTACTCTGGGTCAAGTCCTTTGTACCTGGAACAGAAGACAGTAGACAGTGGACAGAAAAGAGATTGATCGCTAGTGAGAGAAAGAAAGCTGGGGAACGAACAAGATAATAACTTGCAGGTTGGGAGCAGGCAGTAAATGTGGGTGATGCTTGCTGGGAGGAAGAGGGGTGGATCTTAGGTCTTTGGGGAAGGCTCCCCAAGGAGGAATCAGCCATAAGAAACTCCTTCTAGCCAGAAGGGACAGCAGGTACCAAGGCCCTGAGGCAACGAAGAGTTCGATGTGCCAAGAACAAAAAGGCAACCAGCCAGCTAAAGCAGAATCATGTGGAATGCATCTGGAGCAAGTGCCAGTTAGCTTTGGCTGCATAATAACCCCTCCTAACGCTCTTAAAACAGGCACCATGCATTTAGCTCGTGGGTCTGGGGGCTGGCAGTGTGGGCTTGGCTTAGCTAGGTCATTCTTCTGCTCTTACGTGGCGTGTGTATCTGTGGTTGGCTGTGAGGCCATTCCTCTGCTGCAGGGAGGCTGGCTGGTGGTGTAGGGCAGCAGGGGTGGCTGTGTCGTCGTCCAGCTGGCTGGCCCGAGCTCCCTCACGTCACAGCTCAGCAGGGTTCCAAGAGGCAAAGCCAAAGTGCAGGCTCTGGAGAGAGCCGTCTCCACCGTGCGCTGCCGGCCAGCACAGACCAGGGGTGGAGAAGCAGATGCTGCTCTTTGATGGGAAGAGACTGTAGTCACATCCCTATGGGGCATGTGCTCGGGACAGGCCATCTGTGCAAACGGCCTGCACAGGAGGAAGACAGGAGTCAAATTCCGAGGGTGGTGAGAAGGGTCTGGGGGCTCCCGAGGCTGGTGGAGGATGGGCCAAAGGAAGACAAGAGGAAAAGCGGAGATGCCAGTTGGGAGGCTGCTGTCGGTCTAGGCAGGAAACCCAGACTTGCGTCGGTCCCAAAGCCGACCTCGCCCGAAACAGCCTTGCGGGGCTGGCCAGGCTGGGGAAGCCTCTCAGAAGAGCCAGCAGCGGTCGCTGCCCTGGGGGGCGGCGCACAGCCATCGCTCAGGGCCATTGTCACTGTGCTCGCTGAATCCCTACAGCAGAACCGGGCGGGCACTTGAACAAGGCGACTTCTGATCTCTCAGCCCCTCTGGGAGCTGTGTGGATCCCACTCTACAGGAGAAAGAGGCCGCTGCCGGCCCAGGTGGGAGGCTGTGGGCCTGGCCTGGCTGGCGGCGGTGGAGGTGGAGACAACAGGTGAATGGGAGCACTCAGGAGCGACCCGGAAGGACTCGGGGGGTCGGGGCGGAGTGGACTGAGGGGTGCCTGGCTGTGGACTGGAGCTTGTGAGACAGGGAAGAGGCAGCCTGGGAGTAGCTAAACCCGGCTCTGCAGGAGCGCTTACACCTGGACGCAGCCTCCACCTGCCCTCCTGCCCCCTCTGAAGGCTGAGGGGTGGGCCAGAGCTCCAGGCTGCTCCTGCTGACCGGTGGGCGCCCCCCTGAGCCCAGTGGATCATCACACCTCCTGCTGCCTTTTGCCCTAGGAATTCAGTGATCACAGTGATGGTGGCTGTGAGTGCGGAATATGCGCCCTGCCAGGCCGGGGACTGGCTCCCATTCTGAGCGGCTTCCCCAGCCGGGCCGGCCTGGCAGGGCCATTCTTTGGGACCGAGGCAGTGAAACGCGTGCACCTGGGCCGGGTCAGGCAGGACCCACAGCCACTCCTCCTCCTCTGCTGCTTTCTAGGGCTGTGGGGTGCCCCCTTACCTGGGCCGGGTAGGGGTGGCAGACGAGGGCCGCGTAGACACAGCCTACCGCGTGGTGGCCGACCATATGCGCACACTCAGCGTGTGCATCGCCGACGGTGTCTTCCCCGGGATGTCAGGTGCCCCGTGAGTTGAGAAGGAAAAGGAGAGGCGGGGGATGTTGGGATGGCAGGGGGGGACCTTCAGGTGGGAGCATCTGCTCTGGGCCTCGCGCCTCCCCTCCCCGGAGCCCCTGGGGCTTCATTTCTGGGCTCTGAACCCCCCAGGCTGATTCTTCGCCGGATCCTCCGTCGAGCTGTGCGGTTTTCCATGGAGATCTTACGAGCACCCCCTGGCTTCCTAAGCAGCCTGGTGCCCGTCGTGGTGGAGACGCTGGTAAGGGCACGTGGGGAGCCTGCCCCGAGCCCAGTGAGTGCACCTGCCCAGGTGTCATTGGCCCCACCCTGGGTGTGCGGCTGGCTGAGAAAGCTGCACTTGCCGCCAGGCTGCTGACCTCTTGACCTTGGGACCCCCTTCTTCAGTAGACCACCCCACAGGGAAAGTCATTCGCAGCGGGGGCCCCGCCTCCAGGGCAGGTGTCCTCCAGGAGGCCGGGGTGGACAGGTGGAGGATGGGCTGGCTGCTTCTCGGCCGCCTCAGCCCTCTCTGCATCTCCCCAGGGGGACGCTTACCCGGAACTCCGAAAGAACTCGGCGCAGGTACTGGATTGGGGTCGGGGTGGGGTGATGGGGGAGCTGGGGAGAGAGGCGCAACCTCCCCTGAGACCGGCGCCGCTCCCGCCTGCCTGGTGCAGATAGCCGAGCTGGTGGCGGAGGGCGAGGTGGCCTTCCTGGGCTCCCTGCAGCGGGGGCGCCGGATCATCGAGCGGACCCTGAGGCGCCTGGGGCCTTCCGATGTCTTCCCTGGTGAGTGTGGGGGAGGGGACTCCCTGAGACCCTCCAGGATGGGCAGAAGAGGAGCTAGCGGCCAGCGCTGTGCCCCGTCCACACTCCCCTCCACCTGACGCTCCTCCCAACACCCGCCCAGCCACCCTCCACCCCGCCCGCCGCACCCTGCCTCCTGTCGCTGCACTCCGAGGTCATGCTTAGACCCAGCTTCCCTGCCTCTGGCCTCGGAGCAGGAAGCCCAAAGGTGACCCTCACCTGAACTGCCCGGTGTGGGGAGGAGGCGCTTGCGCTTGGTCCCTGGTGGCTTCTCCCTCGCTTCTCTGCCCCATCTCTGTCTCACCCCTCCTCTCCCCAACACCCATTGCCTTCCTTGCTCATAGCTGAAGTGGCCTGGTCCTTGTCACTGGCTGGGAACCTGGGGCTCCCCCTGGACCTGTTGGAGCTGATGCTGGAGGAGAAGGGGGTGCGGCTGGACTCCGCTGGGCTGCAGCGGCTGGTCCAGGAGGAGGCCCAGGTACAGGCTGGGCCCCACGCTGGCTTCTCTTGGGACCTCCAGCTGCTCCTCCAGCGCTGAGCCCCCGGTCTGTGCTCCTATCCTGGAGGATGGTGGGACTGGCTTTCCAAAACCCCAGGCCCTGCCCGCAGCTGTAGGGAGGAATGCCGGTCGGCTGGGCTAAACAGGAGCAGAAGCGGAGAGGCCAGCAGCGCCCTACGGAGGGGTCCTCCCGGGCCGTGGTGGGTGGGGGGCCTGATCCCGAGGAGCCTGCGCGATGGGCATCTTGCTCCAGAGAGGGGCTGCAGGGTCCCCATGTCCCGTTGCCTTCTCCACGCACTCTGCGGTACACGCCTGTCCTGCAGCATCGGGCGCAGCAGGCTGAGCCGGCAGCAGAGCAGGGACTGCAACTCGACGTCCACGCCCTGGGGGAGCTGCAGCGCCGAGGGGTGCCCCCAACTGATGACAGCCCCAAGTACGACTATTCCTTGAGACCCAACGGTGACTACGGTGAGAGCCTGGAGCAAGGCGGGACGGATGCCAGGGGCAGTCACTGCTAGCCCAGGGGGTCGGTCCTCCAAGGGTTGCTGCAGCCCCCAGCTAGGAGCACCCTGAGCCAGGGTCCTGTTGGCCGCTAGTGAGGCTAAGACGCATGTGCAGGACCCCAGCCCCTGGCCAGCACTGACAAGCGCTCTGCACCCTGGCAGAGTTTGGCACCTGTGAGGCCCGGGTGCTTCAGCTGTATACAGAGGACGGGATGGCCGTGGACTGCGTCAGGGAGGGCCAGCGCTGCGGCCTCCTCTTGGACAGGACCAACTTCTACGCCGAACAGGGCGGGCAGGCTTCAGACCGGGGCTACCTGGTACAGGTGGGGCAACAGGTAAGTGCCTCCCCCGCGCACCCCCCGCTGCCCCCAAGGTGCCTTTCGTGGGAGGTAGCCCTGAGCCTGGATGGGAGCCAGGGAGAGGGAAAAGCTGCAGCGGTCACCCCCGCACCTCGGCCCTTGCCTTTCCCCAGGACGTGCTGTTCCCAGTGGCCCGGGCCCAGGTCTGTGGGGGCTTCATCCTGCACGAGGTGACAGCTCCCGAGTGCCTGCAGGTGGGGGACCAGGTGCAGCTACATGTGGACGAGGTAAGGACCCCACACACTCCTCCTGAGACCCCGCAGCCCCTGGCACTCCCCCGCCCTCACCCAGGACCCTGGGTAACCAGAGTGTTTCAGGCCTGGAGGCTGGGCTGCATGCAGAAGCACACGGCCACCCACCTGCTGAGCTGGGCGCTGCGGCAGACCCTGGGCCCCGGCACAGAGCAGCGCGGCTCCCACATCCGCCCCGAGCGGCTGCGCTTCGATGTGGCCACCCAGGTGAGCCAGGCACAGAAAGACAGTCACAGGGCCTGGGCCGCAGGCCCGGTGCTGCCACTCCATCACAGTGGGACCCTGGGCAGGGCCCTTCCCCCCAGGCTGCCCCTCCATCGGCAAAGGTCGGGCAAGGATGTCAGCCCTGGTGGGGTGGGATTCTTTTTATTTTAAAGATTTTATTTAAAAGAGTTACACAGAGAGAGGAGAGGCAGAGAGAGAGAGAGGTCTTCCATCTGCTGGTTCACTCCCCATTTGGCCACAACGCCCGGAGCCAAGAGCCAGCTTCTTCTGGGTCTCCCATGGGGGTGCAGGGGCCCAAAGACTTGGGCCATCCTGTACTGCTTTCCCAGGCCACAGCAGAGAGCTGGATCAGAAGTGAAGCAGCCGGGACTCAAACTGGTGCCCATAGGGGATGCCAGCACTGCAGGCGACAGCTTTACCTGCTACGCCACAGCACCAGCCCCCATCCCACCTACTGCCCCATCCTGGCTGCCCCTTGTTGTAAGCTGCCTGAGGACAGAGCCTCCCTTTGTATTTTCATTGGCTCTGGAGCCCAGTGAATGGCCTGCATCTCCCATGGCTCATCACTTAGAAAAGAGCCACCTGCTGCCCCAGTGCTCACGGAGCACGTGTCGGGTGCCAGCCCCTGGTCTGGAGCCATGGAGTGGCTCAGCGGACAGCACCTGCTATCCAGTGCACGCGTTAGGGCATCAGAGGCAGGCTGACTGTCACCCTGTCCGTTTCCCCTGACCCCACCAGGCCCCACTGACTGCAGAGCAGCTCCGGACAGTGGAGGCCACTGTGCTGGAGGCCGTGGAGCGGGATGAAGCCGTGTACGTGGAGGAGGTGGCCCTGGCGCTCACCACCCGTGTCCCTGGCCTGCGCTCTCTGGATGAGGTGAGTTGGGGAGCCCTTTTGCTATAGATTGTCTGCCTGCTTCAGACACACTGGGAGGCCGCCGCCTCCCCCTTCCCCTCCCCCCTCCCCCTCCTCGGGCTCCTGTGCCTGTCTCCTCTTCCCTCAGGTGTACCCAGACCCTGTGCGGGTGGTGTCAGTGGGGGTGCCTGTGGCGCACGCGCTGGAGCCGGCCTCCCAAGCTGCACTGCGGACCTCGGTGGAGCTGTGCTGTGGAACGTGAGTGGCCGCTTTGGGCTGCCTGGCCCTGGGGCCCTGCAGCCTCACCCTGTTCCATTTTTGGAGCCACCAACCCTTGGTGTAGGGCTCAGCCTTTTCCTTCCACCCCCATCACCTCGCCTGACTGTCTCCTCCCTCCTTCTGCCCACAGACACCTGCTGCGCACAGGGGCTGTGGGGGACCTGGTTATCACTGGGGAACGCCAGCTCACCAAGGGCACCACCCGCCTGCTGGCCGTCACTGGGGAGCAGGCCCAGCAGGTCAGCCCGTCAGCAGGCCCTGGGCGGCTTGCGCATGCGGACAGGGGGCTGGGGCTGCCCTCAGCAAAGCGCGTCCACACACGCACACTGGGACGGCCCCGGCACTGGTGGCAGCTGGCACCCATTATGATTACTTGGTGCTGATGCTTTGGTTGGGCCATGGTTGTGTGGTGGTCAGTACTCTGTGTTGGGATGCCTTGGTTGGTTCCAACCGTTAAATATGTCTAATTTGGCCCTGCCTGGCAGTGGGTTGACAGTCCCCGTCCTAAGGAGGTGAGTGTAATCCTGGCACCGTGACCGCCTTCTCCCCCCCACCGCAGGCCCGAGAAGTGGGTCAGAACCTGGTGCAGGAGGTGGAAGCAGCTGCAGAACGGCTGAGTCGGGGCAGCAGGGATGTGGCCGAGGCCCGGCGGCTGTCCAAGGACGTGGGACGACTCACTGATGTGAGGGCCACCACCTGCCCCCCACCCCCACCCCGCGCAGGGCTGCGGCCCACCTTCACCTGGCTCCATGCCCTCCCCTGCGTCTCCCTGGCCCCTTCCAGTCTCTCCCCAGCGCTTGAACGGGGTTGGGCTCCTGCTGGCCCAGCTGGCTTCCCCGGTGGGTATGGGAGGTGCCGTGTCTTCCCTGGCCCTGCGTCAGGCTCTGGCTGGCTCAGGGATCGGTGGGGTGATTTCTCCGCTTCCTGGCCGCAGGCTGTGGACACTGCCGTGATGCCCCAGTGGCAGCGGCGGCAGCTCCAGGCCACCCTGAAGGGGCTGCAACGGCGCGCCAACACCGCCATCCGCAAGCTGGAGAAGGGCCAGGTAAGACGAGCCTGAGCCGCTCCAGCCCTACCCTGAGAAGCCCCGGCCGTGGGGCGAGCCAGGTCATCTGAGGACACAGGACGGGGGTGATGGCAGCTTCCTCCTCCTCCTCCTCCTCCTCCTCCTCGTCCTCCCCCTCCCGCCAGCTGGGAGTCTCCTCCAGGCTGCTCCTTGACTTTTCTTCCTGCCCAGCTGTGTCTCTCCCCCGGCTCCCAAGTCTGGCTCCGACTCTTCCTCCAGGAAGCCTCCAGTCTTGACTGCCACCATTCGGCCCTCATTGCTCCTTGACTGTCCTCCCCCTGCCCCTCCCCTCCTAGTCCATCTGTGCTCTGGCCTTCCCCCCGTCACCTTCAGTGCCCCATATGTTCAGGCCTCGAGCCACAATGACAGGGAAGAGGCAGAGGAGATGAGGAAGGGCGCGGGCAGGACCCGACAGAGGTGGCCCACCTAGGCAGAGGCCCTGCAGCCCCCTCCCTGGGGGAGGCTGGGACTGAGGGCAGACCTGCCCCTCTGCTGCCCTCCCCGGTCCACAGGCTGCAAGGAGAACCCAGGAGCTGCTGGAGCGGCACCCAGGCGCGCCTCTGATCGTGGACACAGTGTCCGCTGAGTCCCTCTCGGTGAGTGCTGGCGGAGGGGGCTGCCTGGGAGGTGGCCGGGAGCCCGGGGAGCCGTGGGGGCCACCACCTGTCCTCTGTCGCGCAGGTGCTGGTGAAGGTCGTACGGCAGCTGTGTGAGCAGGCACCCAGCACATCTGTGCTCCTGCTCAGCCCCCAGCCCGTGGGGAGCGTGCTCTGTGCCTGTCAGGTGGCCCAGGTGAGAGCAGCCGCCATCCCGCCCATCTCCCAGTCCAGCTCTGACCCCCCGCCCCATGCCTTTTATTCCTTTCGGGCGAGGCACCCAGGCCATGTGCGGGTGACCTGTATAAGACACCACCTGGACAGGGATAGGGCCGTTCCCTTTCTCACTAGACAAGCTGGGAGTCCCTCTTCCACCTGCTCCCGGGCCTCACATCCCTTGCAAGTAGCAGACATTCCTGAACTTGCATCTCCCTTCCCGGCCCAACCCTTCTCCTGCCTCCTCACCAATGCTCCCGCCATGCACCTGGCTCCGGGGCAGGGGGGGCAGAGGTGCTGGTGGGGCAGGCTGCTCTGCATCGCGTCCCCTGCTGTTCGTTCCCAGGGTACCACGCCTACCTTCACAGCAGAGGCCTGGGCGCTGGCTGTGTGCGGCCACATGGGGGGCAAGGCCTGGGGCTCTCGAGTTCTGGCCCAGGGCATAGGAAGCACGGCTGACCTGGAAGCTGCCCTCCACACAGCCCGAGCCTACGCCCTGACCCAGCTCTGACCTGGGCCCCCCCAGGGATATCCGGCAGTGGACTACAGGCAAGTGCCAGGCACCCTCAGGGAGCCAGCAGGACCTCCACAAAGGCCTAGAGGCTGCAGGGCAAGCAGCTGAGCCAAGAGTAGCCCGGACCGGGACCCTGACTGCCCCAGAGGCAGAAGCCATCAGAAATACACAGAACACATCGGGGAGCGTGAAGATGTGGGCTGCACTGGCCGAGTGCTCACTGGGCACTGCCACCTCCTCGGGGCTGGTGCCGCGGCACAGCGGGTTAAACCTTCGCTTGTGACACTAAAGCATCCCCTATCAGAGTGCTGCTTTGAGTCCCAGCTGCTCCACTTCTGACCCAGCTCCCTGCTAATGCTCCTGGGAAAACAGCAGAAGGTGGACCAAGTACTCAGACCCCTGTAGCCACAAGGGAGACCTGGAAGGAGTTCCTGGCTTCTGGTTTTGACCTGGCTGTCACAGCCATTTGGGAAATGAACCAGAAGATGAAAGACTGCGCGCTCTCTCTCTCTCTCTCTCTCTCTCTAAAATTCTGCCTTTCAAATACAAAATTAAATAAATATTTTTTTTAAAAAGTATTTAGAAGGAGTCAGCATTGTGGCATAGCAGGTAAAACCCCATATGGTTCCCAGTTCAAGTCCTGGCTGCTCCACTTCTGATCCAGCTCACTGCTAATGCTCCTGGGAAAGCAGCAGCAGATGACCCAAGTCCTTGGACCCCTGCACCCATGTGGGAGACCCAGGTGAAGCTCTTGGCTCCCGGCTTCTGGCTTCAGGCTGGCCCAGCCCCAGCCATTGCAGCCATCTGGGGGGTGAACCAGCACATTGAAGATCTCTCTGTCTCCCCCTTTCTCTAACTCTGCCTTTCAAATAAAAAAGTAAGTAAGTCTTTTTTAAAAAATGTTCATATTTACCCATCATTGGACTTTACACAGTATACACATGTGTTCACATATTAGGTAATATTAGGTATTCCATAAATGTGTACAGCTTTTATGTGTCTATTAAAAAATTGTAAAATATTTCACAGTGGCTAAGAAGCAGTGGAAGATCCCTTTTACTTGGGAAAGCAGCCTTCCCCCGCCTGGCAACCTGCTATGGGTGCCCCACCATCCGGTCTTGCCTTTCACACCAGCATCGTCTGCAGGAGTGCCCAGGCTGCAGGCCTGGCTACCACCGGGCACCAGTAGAGGGCGCCCTGTCCACCAGACAGAACCGTCAGGTGACAGGACAGCTGGGCGGACCTCTGGTGTCATTCAATTAGCAACGACCTTGTTTTAATGAAAGCCCTGCTGGTTTGTTGATAAACGGAGCCCCGGGTGCTGGGCAGCGGCTGAGAGTGTGGCAGGCACGCCGTGGCCCACAGTTCCTGCCAGCCAGGGGGAGCAGGCCAAGAGACCAAGTGCCCGGCAGTGAGGAGCACTGGAGAAAGAGCGACACTGGGATCCCGAGGGTGGAGGTGGTGCTGCCTCACCAGGCCATGGGGCTGGGGGTGAGGGAGTGAGCCATGTGGACAGCTGAGGGGACACCCAGTGCAGAGACCCTGGGGTGTGGGGAAGCCTGTGGCTCTGAGCAGCAAGCTGGGTCAGTGGGAGCTGGTAGGGTCCTCTTGGGCAGGGGTCACACCAGCCATAAGCTCGCTTTTCTTTTTCTTTTTCTTTTTTTTTTTTTAAGATGTATTTATTTGGCCAGCGCTGTGGCTCAATAGGCTAATCCTCTGCCTGCAGCGCCGGCACCCCGGGTTCTAGTCCCGGTCGGAGTGCCGGATTCTGTCCCGGTTGCCCCTCTTCCAAGCCAGCTCTCTGCTGTGACCCGGGAAGGCAGTGGAGGATGGCCCAGGTGCTTGGGCCCTGCACCCCATGGGAGACCAGGAGGAAGCACCTGGCTCCTGCCTTCGGATCAGCTCATGGGAGACCAGGATAAGCACCTGGCTCCTGCCTTCGGATCAGCTCAGTGTGCCGGCCGCGGCGGCCATTGGAGGGTGAACCAACGGCAAAGGAAGACCTTTCTCTCTGTCTCTCTCCCTCACTGTCCACTCTGCCTGTCAAAAAATAAATAAATAAAGATGTATTCATTTGAAGGAGTTACAGAGAGAGATCAATCTTGCATATGCTGTAATGGCCATGAGCTTCATCCAGATCTCCCACGTGGGTGGCAGGGGCCCAAACTTGGGCCATGATCTGCTGCTTTCCCGGGCACACAGGGAGGTGGACCAGAAGTGCGGCAGGCAGGGATACCTGTACAGGATGTCAGCATTGAAGGCAGTGGCTTTACCTGCTGTACCACAACACCAGCCCCCAGCCATAGGTTTTGTAAAACAAGTTGCAGAGGGGCCAGCATTGTAGTGCAGTGGGTTAAGCTACCACCTGCAATGCCATTATCAAAACAATGCTTCAAGTCTTGGCTGCCTCACTTATGATCCAGCTTCGAGTAGATACACCAGAAGACAATGGATGATGACCCAAGGACTCCAGCCCCTGTCATTCACATAGGAGATGTAGGTGGAGTTCCTGGCTCCTGGCTTCAGCCTGGCCCAGCCCTGGCCATTGCGGCCATTGAACCAGCAGATGGAAGATTCATTCTCATTCTCTCTCTCTCTCTCTCTCTCTCTCTCTCTCTCTCTCTCGTGCTCTGCCTTTCAAATAAATAAATCTTAATAAATAAATACAACAAGTCACACAGCACCTGCCCCAAACTTAAGCTGAAGACAACAGGGGGAAGCCAAGGGATGGAGGGCAGCCCCCCTTCCCTGCCACCGGAAGGAACGCCCCTCAGGGGCTGCGCCTGGCGTCCAGGTACGGGACTGAGCAGCACTCGTTACTGGAGTGGGGCGGCCCCGCCTGCCCTGATGAAGGCACTGATGGTGTGTGAGTGAATCTCTGATGGGGGCTTCAAGGGAGCCTGCCTGGCTGCTGGCAAAGCTTTCGTCAGGATCTTGCCAACAGGCAGTGGCCACCTTGCGCGGTGCCCAGCACAGGCCGGGCTCCTGCAGGCTCCTCCCTGCCCAGGTGAGGCGGGTGGGCCCCGTGTTTTATGGTGGGCAGCAGGGCTGGCGTGAAAGCTCAACTCTGCCTTCCTGGCTGCCTCTCCTTTCCTGAAACGTTCTTATTTTACCAGCCAGCCCCGCCCCGCCCCCCCCCCCACAACGGCCACTCCCTCCTGCATGGGAAAACAGGACATCAGCTACATCGTGTCACGCCAGGACTGGAGGCTGTGTGAGGCCCCCTCCTCTGGGGCCCTGTTAGCACCTGGAGAGAAGTGGAAATTGCCCCCCCCCCGCAGTGCACGGGGCCAGCGGGGGCCTCGGGGAATTGGGGGTGCCCTGGAGCGCTCCTTCCACCATCACCTCCACCCCCGCACCCGCCCAGCCATTTCCACACCAGGGTACCCGACAGGCCTCAGTCCTCCAGGCCAGGGGCCCTGCCTCGGCCTCCCACCTCCTCTCACCGAACCCCCAAAGCCCACCCATCCCTAACTAAGCACGCCCACCAGAAGCCCAGAGCAAACCCCAAGGGAGCACAGTTCCCAGCCTGCAGAGGCCACCTGCGCACCGGGGAGCGCAGCCTCGCGGGACGGCCCCGCCTCACCCAGTCCCGCCCCTGGCAACGCAGGCGTCCCTAACGACGGCGACCGGAGCTGCAGCGGCCGTCTCCCCACATCCCCACCTGGGGTTTCCCTGTCAGCCCTCGCCCACGTTGGCCTGAAGCAGGTAGGCAGCCATCGCCGTGGCTCCGCATATCTCCCGCGTCGCAGAAGGGCCGGTCTGTACCCCCCGGAGCCCCTCACCCACTCCAGGCAAACCGGTGCCTCCCTCGCCCCCCAGCCTTCGTCCTCAAGTGTCTGGGAAGGAGGAGGGGGCGAGTGGCCCGTGGGCTAGGTGGTGAGGAGCAGTCCTGAACCCCACCCCGCCCCCGTCCAAGGCTGGGATTCCTCCCGCAGGGCTGGAAGCCCGCTCACCCCAGGTAGTTGGGGGAGGGCCCCACTGGCCTTTGGACGTGAGCGTCCCTGCTGGGAGTTCTGAGCTGAAGGTAATGGATGGGTGAGGAGCAACAGGACTAAGTGGGCAGGAGTGGGAGGACAAGTGCAGCCTGGCTGGGCCCAATGCCGCTGGGGTGGACCCCTGCTCCAACAGAGAAACGTTCGCCCCTCATATGATGCTGTACACTAAGATCCCTGATGTGGGAGTGACCTGCCCACCGCAGGATGTGACAGGCACGAGATCAAGGCAGGTGCAGACAGAAGCCCAGGGTCCAGCTGTCTGCTGAGGGTGCTGGGGTGGAGGTGGGAGGAGCTGGCTAAGCAGGCAAGGGGTGGGGTGGGGGTGGGGCTTAGTCTGTCAGGCAGGCCATCCAAGCTGGCACAGCTCAGGGGGAAGTGTCCCCAGGATGGGGATAGTCAAGGGCCAGGACTGTGATGGGCAGGAAGGGGAGGGGGCGGCCCCCCACATTTGGGCAGGTGGGAGGAGCTTCGGCCCACAGGGTGAAGTTCAGCCTGGAGAAGGTGTGTAAGTGAGGAAGGGGTGTGTTAGACACTCAGGCATTGAATCCAAGACCTGTGAGGTGCACGGAGGGCCCGGCATGAGCCGTGAGTGGGAGAGCACAGCTCTGCAGCCGGGGAACACAGGCCAGGGCCTCACTGTGGACTCCCCGGTGCCCTCCCCTGTGCCCAGCAGCGAGTGGGAGGAGGCATCCATGCCATTTAGGTCAGCACTGTAGGGAGCAACCCTGGGTAACTTTCTAAGCCTCAGTTTCCTCGTCTGTGAAATGGGCATAATAGTGTCATGATAATACTCCTCAAGAATAAATGTAAGGATGCAATAAACTTTGAAGGGAAGGCATCCAACATCTTTGTCATACTACAAAGCTCTTCAAAAAGTTCACAGAAATGCATATGATGAAAAGATTGTGCATGGATTTCAAAATTTTTGGCACCAAGAGAAACATCACTTTTTAAAAATTTATTTATTTATTTGAAAGGTAGAGAGACAGAGAAGAAGAGGGTCTTCCATCTGCTGGTTTACTCCCCAAACACCCACTATATCCAGGTGTGGGCCAGGCCAAAGCCAGGAGCCTGGAACTTCATCTCCCATGTAGATGGCAAGTACTTGGGGCATCCTCCACTTCCTTCCCAGGTGCGTGAACAGGGAGCTAGGTAGGAATCAGAGCAGCCAGGACTCAAACCAGTGCTCTGACATGGAATGCCAGTGTTATAAGCAGTGGCTCGACCCACTGTGCTACAATACCGGCCCCAAAATTATCTTTTAACTCCATTTCTTAAAAGATTTATTTATATGAAAGTCAGAGTTACACAGAGAGAGGAGAGGCAAAGAAAGAGAGGTCTTCCATTTGCTGGTTCACTCCCCCAGTTGACTGCAATGGCTGGAGCTGCACCAATCTGAAGCCAGGAGCCAGGAGCTTCTTCCAAGTCTCCCATGAAGGTGCAGGAGCCCAGGGACTTGGGCCATCTTCTACTGCTTTCCCAGGCCACAGCAGAGAGCTGGATTGGAAGTGGAGCAGCCAGGACTCAAACTGGTGCCTATTTGGGATGCTGGCACGGCAGGCGGTGGCTTTACCTGCTAC